CCCCCAAAAAAGCAAAGAGTAGAAAACAACCAGCTACACCATAAAGTAAAAAATTAAAGGAGTAAAAATGATCCCTAACAAGCAGAAAACAAAGAACAAGAAACAATAAGCCTTCCTCAATAAGGTTGCCTCCTTGGAGCTAAGAATACTCTGAAGTCCCACAGGAGAAACTGCCTATCTAAGGTCACTACCCTGAAAGTTCCCCAGAGGCTGACCTCTGATCAGCTTCGGTGAGAATTTGCCCTGATTCCTGCCCAATTACTGGAGTAACTGGGAGTCAGGCAGAAGCACCTTTGGGTTTCAGGCAATGGCCAGGTTCAGTAGGTGGCACCTTACAGGTAGAGATGCCCATGTCCCCCCAGTAAAGGCCAGTGGTCCTTAAACAGTGGAACCAGAGTAGAGCAGACTTGAGTGGTTCTGCCATGATGATGGCAGCTATTCATGATTGTGAAGGCGGTAGTTGCTCAGTCGAGTGAAAAGGATGAACAAATGGTATTAATGCACCGGGTGACTGATCCTTGCTCTGGTTTCCAGCAAGCAACCCACTCATAGCCTCCACTAAGCATGGATGATAAGAGAGGTGTGAGACAGGCAACCAGTTGATAGGGTATCAACAAAAGAACTCTTCCTAACTTCCCGCCCACAGAGGAAATTCTGCTCATACCAGAGCCTATAGGCACTCAGCCTCCAGTGTCTGCAAGATACGACCAAAATTGCGTTAGGCAAATCTAGTCTTCAGAGCTCTCCTTCCCCACCCTGGAGTGCTATTGCCCATCGCCCCAACCCTGGATTACCACTTCCCACTCCCCAAATCTTCCTTTGTTTCCCCCTTTCCTCCTCCCGAGCTCCAAAGAGCTAACTCCAGCACATTCTGTGTGGAAAGATGAGCGGTTAAGCCCCTCCTCTATCTACATCTCAGTATCAGCATCTGGAGGTTCAAGCCCTGCTTTGGTCCTTTTAGTGCAGGAAAACTCACAATGCTGTCTGAGAATCCATCCTCAGCACCCCATGAAACAAAGGTGGCTGGAGAAGGTCCACGATGCCCCCAAGGCAGTGTGGCGTGGGGTAGGGTGCGAGATTCAAGCCCGGTCAATGCTATGGGCAGTGACCCCCAAATCTTCCTGGGCTGTAGGCTTACTACTGCTTTATCCTCTATGAGCCACTCAGCTGCTTCGTTGGCAATCTTCCAATGTAATACCCACTACTACCAAGGTGAGAAGGTCTGGTCCAACTCCATCCTCGAGACCCCGGTCCACATTTGTCAGGGACTGGAAAGAGGCTTCCTGGCTTCTCATCTTATGTCACAAAGGGTCTCTTCGCACAGCCCTGTAGAAGGTCCCATTGTGGGGCTCCCTCAGACACCTAAAGGGCAGGTTCCTTTGGACCGTCCCTCAACAGTACTATCCAAACCTGTTCGGGTTCAGCTTGTCTTTTGAGGTACCTATATGGTCGAGACCTCAGCCTGAAGGCACCAGTGCCCTAATCCCTGCCTGGCCTGAGGAGGTCAGGTAACACAGTCGGGGGTCACTAAGGCCGGCCGGGTACAGCTGCGTCCCCCCACCCCCCACGCACGCACAAACGCGGGGTCACCCGAACCCTGTGCCCCGCAGCGTTCGATCTCAGGACCGAAGACACCCTGGGCTAGGGTGCCCTCCACTCAGCGCGCTGCGCTGTAGCAGCCGCCGCCTCTCGCTTCCCGCCTCGGTGGCCGCGCAGGGTAGGTAGCTGGGGGGACCGGAAGGATGGCGAGGAAGTCGGAGAGGGTTTCCTGAGATGAGAGATTACTTCCGTCCGCGCGCTGGCCTCTCTTTGGAGCCGGCTGGCTGGGGCTCGGGGAGCGGGGTGTGCGGGGCTCGGCCGCGCCTTGCCACCTGCAGCGCCCGGGCAGGCCGCGGGGACCTGCGGCAGCGGCTCACCCCGGCCATCCTTGCAGGTGGGAGTCGAGAGCATCTCCAAGCACCCAAGCCATGGTGGCCAAACAGCGGATCCGGATGGCTAACGAGAAGCACAGCAAAAACATCACCCAGAGGGGAAACGTAGCCAAAACCCTGGTAAGGCGGGGGCGGCGCCGGCCGGGCCGAGCTGGCAGGACCCGCGGGGCGGAGCGGGGCGGAGCAGGCGGGCCTCGGGCTCAATGCCAGGCCTCCCGGCCCCTCCTCCGGGGTCCCGCAGACTGGGGGACCCGGCCGGGCTCTGGGGGCGCAGACTGCTCTGCTTTCTCATGGGCGGAGAGGGCTCTGGTTGGTGGAGCCTCCCCAGGAAAAAAATGGCTCATCGTCCTTGGAAAAGGCTTAAAGCTGCATCTTAGGGTCCAGTGAAGCCAACTGGGCTGGGAGCCAAGTAGGTGAATGTGATGAATGAATGAATGAATGGATGAACGAATGATAGAATGCTACTTATCCCCAGCTTCCAGACTATACCCCTGGACTCTTCCCCACCCCCATACTAAGATTTTTCTTTCTACCTTTTTTTTATATATATATATAGTGATCTGTCTCTTCTCCCAGTATACATTGAAAGGGCTTAAAAGTAGGGCGTGAGATTCCGACACACATTTCTTTCCATCCTCTTCTTCCTCTTGCAAAATGAGGCCTCCAGCCGTCACTGGGCTAAAGCTTAAGTGCAACGTTACTGTCTTCGTTCACCCTGTGAATTCAGGCTCATTATGATGCTGTAGCTGTAGAGACCAGCTTATTGCCAGGAGTTCTTTGCTCCCAGAACTGTGGGTTAAAGCTTTACTCCTGGAATTTTAAGTAAACTGTACCTTAGGAGCAGATCTTTATTCCCTTCAGTAAACCAGGTTGTCTGCTACAGAAAATGTCAGGCCTGTGACTTGGAACCACCCGAGACTTGAGGGGGTTTGCGTCGTCACGAAGAGCGGGTTTGCAAAGGCGCCTGGAATCTATTATCCTAAAAGATGAAGGGGAAGTCCAGCCGAAGCTTGAGGTTTGTCTGGAAACGCAGACTTGATGAGGCAATGCCTTTTAGCCAAAGAAATTATGCTGGTTTGATTAACTGAGGGAAAAGATGGATGTGTAGTCATCACACCGGAATTCCTGCAAAACCAAGCAGAATTGTAGCAGAGGAACCATAGCGTCAAAGTCCACTCAGAGACTCATACACAGCTCCAGGCTTAAGTAACCCTTAAAATTCTCTGTTTTGGGGGATTGGAGCTGTGATTAGAGGGAACAAAATGGCAAGGCATCGTAGAATGGGAACCACATTTTTACTGAGATCTGTCTCCCCTATATGTTTCTACTGGGAGGGGGCAGGGAGCCACTGCCCAAGTTGACCTTAAAAGCAGTCACTTTATGTTTCTGGGAGATCAATTCTTCCTTCCCAGGGTGTTAGACCTATTTGCTGACATAGTGGAGATAGGCAGTGTCTGATGATTTAAGGAATCAGAGTTCAGAGGTTAAAGGATCTCCGTTGACAGCTTATGTGAGGGCAAAAGGAACCACACAAGAACTAACTTGTGGGGCTGTTTTCTCCATCAGCCTCTGTAGACTGAAGAAAATGTTGGGAACTTAAAACAAAACAAAAGACTATTGACTCCAAAGTAAAAGATGATGGGAAAGCACTACATAGTAGGTATAATGACTGGTCTTCAGCAATTCAACTCAACTTTCCCTGGCTACATTTAAATTATATTAAATGTGTGGTATAAGTGCATTTAACAGGTTCTGCCATACCATGGATGGCCCACCTCAACAGTGCCTCGAGCCTATGAGGACCTGGAATTGGCCAGACTAAATTTGTAATGAAAGATTCCCGGGCCCCAGTAAACATTCGTTTTGGGGTGTTTTGAAGGGTCTTTTGGTTAGCTGTATTGTAAGTAGATCAGCATCCAAAAAGAAAACAAAATTTCTCTCTGTAAATCCTGAATCTTGTTTTATCTAATTACAAGTCAAACATGGTTATACTTTGATAGAAGTAACTTAGAAAAGACAGCTAATTCTGGTTAGATCAGTAAATGGGAACAGATTTGCAAGTTCCCATTGAAAATTCAAGCTCATTGTTCAGAAATCAACCTCCATCACCGTATACAGATGCTCCTGTCTGTCATGATTAAACAATGGCTTTGGGATAAATCAGTGCTTTCCTCCTAGAGAGCAGATTGATACAAGAGACAGAAATGAAAGGACTATTTGGGGATTGGACAGTAGGGATTCCTTCAGAGTGGAAGGGGGGTTTAAATATCAGAGTTCTGAGCTGCCCTGCAAATATTTTATAAAAGAAAAAGACAGCCCCTCACATATTGGGGCTTCATGTTTAAGGTGGGCCTTGTTCTTTACAGAATGTCTGCAGAACAATTTTCCCTGTCCTACAGCAATAGTATGGGGTGTGGTGGTATTGTGTTCCCCAAAATATTTTGCACACTAATAAACTTATCTGGGGTCAGAGAACAGTACAGCCACAAAGTTAAACATAGAGGTTAGGCAGTGGTAGCACACGCTTTTAATCCTAGCATTCCAGAGGCAGAAATCCCTCTGGATCTCTGTGAGTTCAAGGCCACATCGGAAACAGCCAGGCATGGTGACTCACGCCTTTAATCCCAGAAAGCGAGCCTTTAATCCCAGGGAGTGAGGCAGAAAGCAGAAAGATATATAAGGCATGAGGACCAGAAACTAGAAGCATTTGGCTGGTTAAGCTTTCAGGTTTTGAGCAGCACAGTTCAGCTGAGATTCATTCTGGATGAGGACACAGAGGCTTCCAGTCTGAGGAAACAGGATCAGCTGAGGAATTGGCGAGGTGAGGAAGCTGTGGCTTGTTCTGCTTCTCTGATCTTCCAGCATTCACCCCAATGCCTGGCTCTAGGTTTGTTCTCATTAATAAGACCATTTAAGATTCATGCTACAATGGGGCTTATGTGAATTGTCCCAGTGAGGTTGTACTGGCACCCTTTCAAAAAAAAAAAAATTAAGACTCTCCAAAGGGCATGTACTGGCATTATGATCAGCTGTGTGCTCCAGAGCTCTCAAAGTCCACAGCTAATTTCCATCACTAGGGAATGCCTTCCCAAAGAATTTTATGTTAAATACTCCAGGCTACGCAATAATAATTTGTGTTTAACTGTAGGTATAAAATACAGGTCTCCATTTGGCATACTGGATAGCCCAGTGATTCATATAGAGGCTCCTGGATTCACTTATTGGCCTTGCTGGGAATCGAGCTAGGATAAATCTTTCTGTAACGTGCCATGAGTGGCAACAGTGACCCCTCAATGGGTTTCTGATGGAAACTAGAGCAGTGAAGTTGGGGAGGAGGGCATGGGGGGGTAGATGTCACACTCTGTTCAAGTGACTTGGTTTGAAATCTCTGTGGCTGACTTGATCCCAGCTTGACCTAGTCTTATGTGCTAAGGGGTGACACAGTAAAGTCCTATTGTGCAATTCCTAAAGACTTACTTGGTTATTTCCTGGCCAGAAGCAGCAGCCTGTCATATTGTGACTCCCAGCACACACGCCGGTCAAGGCCCAAGAATGAATGGCTTTCATCTTTAGTCAAAATGGTCCTGCTGTTAACACCTTGATCTCTACTTCAGTATCTAGTCAGTGAAAAACAGAGATGACCCACCCATTACTACCAATTACTACGAAGTATTATTAAAAGTACAGCTGAGCATGTAGCATGTAGGTAGGAGCCCTGGGTTTGATCCCAGCACCATATAAAACTGGCAGTGGTGGTCCACACAGATGTAACCCCAACATTTGGGAAGTGAAAGGGGAGGAAGAGGGTCCGATCTTCATTGTCTACATAAGTTGAGAAGGTCAGATCATCCTTGGCTACACATCAAAGTCAAGGCCAGCTTGGACTAGAAGAAAGCCTGTGTCAAAATAAATAGACAATAATCTTTGTAGACTCACATTTTACCTGACCTATGAAATCACGTTTAATTAAATTAAATATGCATGCTCATTCATTCTTTAATGAACATTTATTATCCTCTTTATTTAAATCTATGCCAGCTTTGCTATACATTGACGCTATATATTTCTTCTTTGAAGAAACCCATCAGCCCTTATGGGGCCTCCAGTGTGGTGGAGAGATTGACATTAAACATATTCCCCTGGGAGTCAGTAATTCCAAACTATAAAAAAAATGTCAAGAAAACATACAAATGGTCATACAAATGATCAATGAACCTGAGTGAGGTAGAGCGGGTAGGCTAAAAATGTAATAGTAAGTTGAGACCTAACAAATTGTAGCCTAATCTATAGAAAAATAAGGAATTCCTATCTTTTTTTTTCCAGTACTGGGGACTAAGACCAGGGCCTTGTATACGATATCTATGTAATCAAATATGGTTGTCCTAGGTGGCCCATGCTGGCCTTGAACTTACTCTCTAACCCAGGCCACCCTAGATTTCACAATCATATTGTCTTAGCCACCTAATTCTGAGATTCTAGGTATGTACCATCATGCCTGGTAAATGGGGAAGAGCATTAACTATGAATGTCAGGTATTGATAAATACAACATGTTTCATGTATTTTTAATACAGTGAACTCTCCAGGAAAGCCAACTGAAGGAAGATTGTACTGTTTTGTTCAAAACTTTACTAAACCTTGCTCAACGTGTCAGGAAATTACATTCTCAGTAGCGTTCATTTCCCTTCGAAACACTAGCACAGTACACCTCCCAAATGGGTAGCTGTCAGATCCGCTCTGCATAGACTTGAGCGGATTTCAGCCCGTACTTTATAATGTTGCGTATCTGTTCAGATGTCCACAGCCCTTAACTGAAGCCCACAGCTTGAGTTTGTGATTTGCTCTACCAGTAAACATCTACAGATTGTTTTTTCTATCAGTGGGCAGTGGGCCTCTCTGCATGTTCTTTAGCTTATACTGAATGTAGCCAATCTTTTGCTCAAGTTACTAATGAAGCAAGCTCAGTTTTGTCTCCCCCTGCAAATTCTTTCTTTGTCCTTTTTGTTTAATAAATCACTGCTTTTTCTGGTTGTCTTCCCTAAAACCTAGGTGTGCTCTGTTCATTTATCTGGTCTTCTGGAGCATCTGCACTCAGGCCTAGAGATGTTGCAGAGGGATATTCTTATTATACCTTTGTTCTTGTTTTGAGAAGAGCATCACGTATGCCAGGCTCTTCCTGCAGATCTAGCTGTCCTGCTTGCCAGTATGTGGAGACTTCTCTAAGGTGCAGACGTCATTAAGGCTTACCAGCTTTTTGAGAACATTCTGCTCCCCTCTCATTCACCCCCCAGAATGCTGCATTACTTTTGTGGGTTACAATGATTTCTGCTGCACAGGCTTCTTCCATTTTCAATATAGTGGTGGTTTGGGGGAAACATCTGTGCTCTCTGATCCTTCTGGGAATGCACAGACATGAGAATGAAAGGTGACCTAGTCATAAAAGATACCTAAACTTGGTAATAAATTGAATTCCATCTCTTACTCATCAGCAAACTTTGAACCTCAGGTCTCAACTACAAAATAGGAATAATTATAATCCTTGCATGAAGCCATGTGTGCTGGAGATAACATACATGGACTGCCTGGGCTATGCTTTCAACAGATGGACACAATTATTATTATTATCACTAGCCTTTAAAATCACCATGTGTGTTTATATATTTATACCTCATTCACCCCTACAATATTTTAGAGCACCAAATTCATTAACATTAATAAAGTAATAAATGACTTGTTTTACAGAATTTATCCCAGTCTTTTATAATTGGCTTTACTCAGCTGTGTATCTACCCACGAAGAGTTGCAACCAAATCTGTCATTTGTACACAGTAGGATCCTAGCACATCTAAAACCTCGCAGGACCCTGTAAAAATGTTTCCTGAATCAATGAACCTAACCTTAAATTTTTATTCCCTTACAGAGGCCACAAGAAGAGAAATATCCTGTTGGGCCATGGCTGCTGGCACTGTTTGTTTTCGTTGTCTGTGGCTCAGGTATGGTACTTCACTGAATTATAGCCCATGTTCTCCACTGTCCTTGAGAAACCATGTTTTGTCCACAGCCTAAATACACAAAGAAGTATTGATTTAGGGTCCAAGGTCATCCCTGCCTTAAACCTTGATCTTAGTGTGTTTTTATTTAGTTTCTATCCCAAGTATGATGAGACAGAGTTGATACACTATCAAATCATAATCATAAAATGATTACAAGAAATTAAATGCGTTACATATATGCTGTGCAGTTCAGTTGAGTTGTTCTGTATACACACAGCCTATATAGATTAGATTATTTGGAACAAAAGGTGAAATGCCTGTCTGCTCAAGATAAACCCACATTCCAAAGACAGGGAGGGACTTTACGCCTTAGAACCTTCTACAGAAAGCTCAACCAGAACAGAGCCTTTGACCTAAGCCACAGATCTGGGTATCTCGATACTCTGGGGTGGTAAGTTCAGAGAGCTGTGATTGAACGCTTGCAAATACATACACACATATGCACAAGGGATGTGAGCAAAGGGGAAAAAAGCATGCAATTCTGTTCAGTGCTGTTAGTGGAGCCTTGCTTGGGCTCTTGATACCAATAGACTAAGTTTCTGCAATACTAATAAGTGGATATTACCTCTTCTAAACTCAAGGCATAGTGTCAGGGGTCCCCATCCTCCTCTGCCATCTCTGTTTCTAAGGACAGGGACCTCAAGAAGCCTGTGTCTTCCTGTGTACACTTAGGCATCCCACCAAGACACACTTCTGCTCCAATATCAAGAGAAGCCCATCACGACTGCGGGTCCAGCTACTTGAGCTCTAAGAGATTGCTTTCCCAAGGGAACAGAAGGTCTGGGGGGTTGGAACATCTGAAGCGCTTGGGGATAGCATTATCTTCTGAAATATTTTTAAGAGGACTCGATGTTTCAAGAAGAGAAGATTATCCACTCAAAAAATAAGAAATCTAACCCTCATCAGCTTTTCTCTGGGGGAAGCTACCCAGTATGTGAGTGCCTTACCACTGACCTGAATACATTCACCCAACCCCTGAATGTTTCCAAGAATGGGCTGCCTACTTCACAAAGAAGCAAAAAGTCTATTCCTGGGCAGGTGCCATGGTGCATGTCCGTAATGCCAGTACTTGGGTAGCTAAGGCAGGAGGACCATCATTTTGAGGCCAGCGTTGGGCTACCCAGAAAGTTCCAGGCCAACACTGGATACACAGTGAGACCCTGTCTCAAAAATAACAACAAAACTCAATGCCTGCTCTCTTCAGAATGTGCAGATATTTTTAATATGAGTGCCTGGTAGATCCTTCTTCAGACTAAACTCACCTGGTTGACTCAACCTTGCCTTAAAAGATGTGTGTTCTAAGCCAGGCATTGGTGGCACAAACCTTTAATCCCAGTACTCGGGTGGCAGCGGCAGGCAGAACCCTGTGAGTTCAAGGATGGCCTGGTCTACAAAGCAAGTTCCAGAATAGCCAGGGCGATTACATAGAGAAACCCTGTTTCGAAAAACCAAAAAGAAAAGAAGGAAGGAAGGAGGGAGGGAGGGAGGAAAGAAGAAGAAGAAGGAGGAAAAGAAGAAGAAAAAGAAAAGATGTGCATTCTAGACCTTTCTCCCAGATGCACTCAATGACCTTCTTACAGGACAGCATTAGCAACTTCAGAAGATAGCCTGGAATTGTTGTGACCGCCGGGGCAGTAGATTTGTCACCCCACTCGATCGTACTACTGCCTCTGTTACCGTGACCTGAGTTTTCAGTTCAACCCTCGTGCTTTTGAGTGTCACCCTGTCAGCCACCAGCCCCATCCAGTCTTCATATCAGTTCCCTGCCCACCTCAAAGATACATCTGTGCACCTCTTTGCCCCCCATGAATCCGCTGTCCCCCTACACATGTTGTTTCATTTTCCTCTGGTCCTCCTCCTCCTCGTCTCAAATGACCTCATTTCCTCCCTTATTGTCTACTTCCTCCCACAAGAGTGGTCCAGGGAGGCAGTAGAGTCCCACCGAGTCTGTAGATCCTGCACAGCACCTGGCACACAGCAGGTGTCGAGGGGAGTGAGAAGGTGGTGGATGCCCAGATGGATGGCCAGGTACCGCCCATACTCTAGGCACTTGGCCACTTTAGAAAGACGAAGTCTAGGTTTTGAGAGCTCATATAAAGCTCCATGATTTAAAACTTTTATTGTTGGCTGTCAGTTGTCTTTTCAAAGTGGCCAAGTTCACAAGCATACAGAATAAGAGGTGTTCTGATGTTCTGATCTACTGTGCAATATGATCAGTGACATGACGTGATATATTTAACATATGACTCCTCGTCGGCACTGCATTGGTGGGAACAGTGTACACAATTGCAAGAGACACGGTCTCTTAATGCAGCACTTCCCTCTGTGTGTACATATGTTCATCTGGAATTCACAGCCTCTGGTGCTCTGCCTCTGATTTTTTTACCTTTAGCGTGTGCCAGCCCACATTAAAAAGTTATCTGTGCTCTTAGTCTTTACGACCAGTCTATAGACAAATGGATCTTGAACCTTGAGCTTTTAATATAATTATCCTCTCCCAGCTTTATGACCTCTGAACATATTATAGCTCCAAGTCACCGATGAAAGGTCTAGACTTGGTGAAAACTGTGAAACACAGTGAGGCAGCCTCCTTCAACTTGACTTTGAACCTCTGCACCTTGCAGCCTGGCTCTATGCTGGGTTTTGAAATGCAAACAACAACAACGTAGGAGTTTGTGGGCTTTGGGGAAGGCAAGGAGGGGGCTGGGGCAGCCCAGAAGAGAGCACACCACATTGACCGCATTAGCTCAGCGATGTGGATAAGGGCCTTCCCCATCTCACGGGCTGAGGAGGGACCTCCCGGCAGTTGGAAGTGAGCATTCAAACAGATGGGGTGAGGGAGGTGTCTCCGCCAGAGGGAACAGGATGTACCATAGGCACAGAGGCACCCCACAAGCCCAGTCACAGTACCTCGTGTCCCTGTTGCCCGGGTCCCAAGTAAATACTAGCTAACGCATGTTTACTTTCTAGCATCAAGGTTTGCAGTAAGGACATTGTAGCCCTCCAACCTGTCTGTCTGGGTGCAAGTCAGTAGAGCGTTCTGATTTAGGTCCTTTTTCTCAAATCCATGTCCGTTATATAAATACCACATTTCCATGACACTCCTAGAGGTCAGTCATTTCTCGGGGACCAGGACTGTTGTCTATATAGGCTTTGTTACCTTTTCTGTGAGTCTGTCAGGTCCCTGGGGTGTGGACCTGTAAGCAAGTCCTCGAACTTTGGATTAAAAGGGCTCAGAGAACAGATCACTTACTGTACCCATCCATCTCCTTCCTCCTTTCTTTTTTTTCTTTCTGGGGGTGTGGAAGATAAGACCCAAGGCCTCCTTCATGCCAGGCATTTTCCCACTGTACCACATACCCCACCCTTCCACTGTTCTTGCGGCACCTCATTCAGTCTCTCTAAGCCAGACCGATTTGCTTCTCCAGACAGGTGAACTGTGGGAGCTGAGAGGCCTTACTTTTTCTGTTCCCTCGTAACATACTGCCATTGTCCCAAAGCATCGGGCTCATCGCTTTTCAAGTTACAGCTAAAAATAGTATACACATCTCCCCCCATCCCACCCCCACCCCACTTCTCCTTTTAACAGCTGTGGTATTGTTTTCATACACCTCAGCTCAAGTTGGCCACGGCTCTCTCTCATCACTCCTCCTGGTTAGTCCCTGGTGTACATGGCCCTTTCTAAACAGATCATGTCATGAAAAACACACTGGTTCCTCCAGATCTGTCCCCGTGGCCGGCCCTCCAGGATTAGTTGGTTCATCTTGCAGAACCTTTCCAGCTCTTGACGTTCTCCCCTTTCCAAGTCAAGGACTACACCTCCCACCCCTCTTCTCTCTCCATTTGAAAAGGTGTGACTTTGTCAACTCTTCTAGCCCACGTATTGCTTCTTCAGGTGAGTGATGAGCCTTCCTGCAGGCACTGGAACGCTAGAAACCCTCATCCCTGGAGTGTCTGGCCAGTGCCCCTGTTCTAAAACCCAGCACCGTGAAGATGCTCCCCTCTCATGTCACACTGCAGCTCAGACACAAGCATCCTGCTGTGCCTGCCTGCCGTGGTCATGCAAGGTGCATTGGAGCTTCGGAGCCCCCCCACCCCCCGCACGCTCTCTCCACCCTCTGTGCCATCTTCAAACATGATATACCCCCTGGTGTAGACAAAAGCTTTGTCCCGCCAAGTTCCCGTGACAGCTTCCAGGTCTTCTTGCCGTCTGTGAGCTCCTGGATTGAGTTTCTCTTATTTGTGTGTGTTCTCCTAGAGACACTGAGGACAAGATAACATCTCCTATGAGTAAAGATATTGATCATCTATCCTAATCTCTTGGAAGTCTTGTGCCTTTCATTCTCTTATTTTATTAGCCTACTTTTCTAGATGATGATTGGTTGAGCGAAGTGCCCTTTTTAGAAATAGTGTCAGAATACTGATGGTAAATAATATTCAGGTCAGTCAGGTAGTAGGAAACACACATTTTCTTTTTTTTTTTTTTCTCACCGCAGTCTCAGAGAGAATTAGGGCTGCCAGGGAGCTAGTGTTTGACAGATGCTCACTTACTGGCCACTCTTGCTCCATTATGTGGAAAAGCTGGTTAACAAATCTATGAAACCCCTGTACTACTTCTCAGCATTCCCTTCTGTGACCTTCTCTGTCTGGTGCGTTTACCCTTTCTGGAGTCTTCATCCAAAGGCTTCAGCACAGACCCACATCCAGGAAATGCGGTCCCCACACTGAGAAGCCAGGTGAAGCGGCCACCCCCCATCCCCACCCCGGGCTGCCTGAGGCCACCACCACCCCTGCCAAACCTGCTCTTGCTTCTTGCCAAGGTAGCTGGCTACGACCTCTAACAATTACCCTGAGGAAAGACAAGTACAGAGTTGCCCGAGTGCACCTGCAGAATAAGTATATCTCCATTTTCTGAGACTGCAAAAGGTGTCTCTAGCAAG